CAGAGTAGGTAAAAAAAATCCATCAGGTCAAAACCAGAGAAAAATTCGCCTCAAGCTAGCTACCCAGTCAATAAAATCAGATCTTATCCAGTCAGCACGATCCTCACGAAAGGGGATTTACATCAACGAGTGCTTGACTAGAAAAAGACAGGAACTCTTCTATCGTCTGCGTCTAATCCGAAATGAAAACCGAGATGTGATACATCAGTGCTTTGTTAGAGATAGCATGATAAAAGTAAGGAAAACTCCTACAGGTAAATTGTATACAATTTCAAATGAGTATAACCTCAATGCATTCCTCACCAAATGTGGTTTGTCTCACCTGATTAACCCTATCAATGCCTCATCTTAATTAACCCCTTGTCACCAAATCTAGGTAACCTAGGTTTCTTTATTGCCCTGTTATATTTAAATTAAATTGGAATTTGATTTATATTAATCATTTATTGGAATTAATTGAGTATTTTTATTTTCTTAGGTTCACGTTAATTATAGGAACGTAAACAAGCTAATTATAGTTAATTATCATTAATTATTATAGTTATATTATTAGTTTGTTTTTTCTTTATGATTATTATTCAACTTGTATTTCCTTGTATTCTTTACTGTACCTAGGTTGCTTAGCCTCTCTGTACTCCCTTGCTTCATTGTACCTCTGTGTTAGGATTAAATACTACAGAGGTAAGTGTAGCATGTTTTGAGAAGATGCTTTTATTGTTTTCAATCTTGTAAATAGTAAGTTATGTACCGTATACCTGTTGTTGTTGTTGTTGTTGTTTGTTGACAATAAACCATGTGGACGAAGATTGTTTCTCTTCCACCTTAAACGTAACAGTGAGGCTGAGAGCCTGGGTATGAGATGAAGTGTGAGGATCAGGAGAGAGCAGGGTACGTCATGTGGACGGGTGGACGAATGGTATACAACAGTGAGTTGTGCAACCCACCATGTGGCCATGGCTACCCCGCTCATCTCAATGGAGCCGTTTAATGCCATGTTAACATGTGTCTGAGTCTGTGGTATTTTTCTGGCAAGGTTAGTATCAACCGATGAAAAGAAGCTATTAAATTCAGTTGCCGGTGTATAGCCATCCTTTGAGAGTTTTATCTGGTTATGTGACTGTTGTTTAGTTCCTAGGATGTTAGAGATGGCTCTCCATGTGTTTTTCATGTTGCCTTTTGCTATTTTGAATCTACTCTCATAATAGGAAAGTTTTGCTTTTCTTATTATACTGGTAAGCATTGATGAGTACCTCTTAACTACTTTCTTTACAACTAGACCAATCCTAAGTATTTTTCATATTCATGTTTCTTGTCGATTGCTTTGAATATGCCACTTGTGAGCCAAGGATTGTTTATTCGTTTGTCAGTTACTAGCTTGGTGAGGAGGGGACAGTGAGTGTTGTAGAGGCTTAGTGTTTTGGAAAAGAAGAGGTTAGCTAATGAATTTATATATATATATATATTTTATTTTATGTCCACTTATGGATGTCAACCAATAAACTCATACTAAACATAGAAAAGACCTACTACATCTTATTTGGAAGCAAATCAACAAATGCAATTCAGCTTCAGATAGACAATGTTAACATCAGCAATAAAAAATGATGGAAAGTTCCTTGGCCTATACCTAGACAAAAGACTCAACTTCAGCACCAACACACAACACCTAAGAAAGTCTATAAAACTAAATCAAATCAAATCAAGTCAAATCAAATCAAATGTTTATTCAGGTAAAAGTACATACATAGATGAGTTACAAACATAATGTTGGATTTATAGATAGAGCTAGTACATACAATTCCTAAAGTCACTAATACGCACAACGCTTCGGGCAAGGTGTGGGGGAAAAAAAAAACTTAGACTCATTGAGATTAAAGTTTTAATTGTGTTTTAAAAAAGAAAAGAAAAAAAATAATGAACATGGCAAAAAACAACAATTATACAAGTTGGTCACCAAACAGTATTGATTGAAAATAGCAAGACATGGGTTGACATTTATGGGGGTAAGGTAGGTTACATGGAGTTTATTAGGTATGTAGCGAGTATATTATGTCAACAATATATTCGCTCCAAGCTCTCATTAGCTTAAGGAGATCCGTCTTCTTAATCCACGAAATTCATATCTTTTCCTTAATTACAGGTAACATTCCTTCCAACATATTGGAGGATGATGAGATGAGGTGTAGTCCAATCATATAAGCAATCAATTCAATTTCTTTCTTTATTATGCACCCCATACCCATCCCGTGGGCGGTGGTATAAGAGTATAAGAGTACAGACACTTTGGAATTACCACACCTCTTCAGCCTCAAGAATGTAGCACTCGGTGTGTGCAGTTCTAACCGACCCCAAGACGCTGCAGCTTCGACACAGAGCAAACATAGCAGACTACAAACACATCGACTTCGACACTCACCATTCCATATCCAGCCGCCACGTTCTCCCACATAGTGCCTCAGCGTCTACGACACTGACAACAACTGACTGATGTAAATATTTGAAAAAAGATTTTTCAAATATTTGAGATTTTGAGAAAAAAAAATTCTAAAATATTTGAAAAACTAATCTACAAGCAGCTTTACTCTAATCGAGCCAAACACAATATACTTAGCTCTTGTCAATATAGATTCAGACCTAAAAAAAGCACTAACGATGCACTTATTTGTATGATTAACTTGATACATGCAGCTCTTGATAAAAATGAGTTCCCTGTTGGGTTATTTGTGGACCTGGGTAAGGCAATTGACACTGTCAACCACCAAAACCTTCTTCTTAAATTACATCATTATGGAGTCAGAGGTAACTTCCTGCAATACCTTCAGTCATACTTTACTGACAGGCTCCAGTTTGTCTCTGTGAATAATTCCATTTCTCCTACACTACCCATCAACATTGGTGTTCCACAGGGCAGCATACTTGGCCCTCTCCTCTTTCTCATCTACATTAATGACCTTCCAAATGCCTCTCAACACCTCAAACCAATCTTATTTGCTGATGACACAACTTTCATTTACTCCAGTCCTGACCCGCTTGCTCTAAATGTCACTGTGAATACTGTACTGAACTAAATAAATTTCATCTTTGGCCAACTGCTAACAAACTCACCCTTAACATTGACAAAACTTTCTGTATTTTGTTTGGTAATAAATCCTCAAATGAAATTAATCTAAGAATAAACACTATACAAATCAGTAGTAAAGTTGATGGTAAATTCCTTGGTGTCCTCATCGATAACAAGCTGAATTTCCAGGGACACATTCTAAATATAGCAAAAAAAGTTTCTAAAACTCTTGGCATTCTTTCTAAGATCAGATATTATGTTCCTCGCCCTGCCCTGGTGACTCTCTATTACTCTTTCATCTATCCTTATCTCAACTATGGTATTTGTGCTTGGGATTCTACTACCCAAAATCATTTACGTCCTCTAATTACCCAACACAAAACTTCTATTAAAACAATATCTAACTCTGGCCCCAGACAGCACTCGGTACCCTTACTCAAATCTCTGAATATGTTAGATATTAAGTCACTGCACATCCTCTCATGTGTACTCTATATATTTAAAACTCTGAACTGCAATGTCAATCCTGTCCTTGAAAGCTTCTTAGAAGGTTGTAACAGAACCCATGGGTATCACACCAGAAACAAATACCTATTTGATATGGCAAGAGTACGACTTAATCAAACTAGAAATGCTTTACAAATCAAGGGACCCAGAATGTGGAATGACCTTCCCAATCATGTTAAAGACTGTACCTCTCCCAACCAGTTTAAGATAAAAACTAAGTACTTTGTAACTAGCTCATCAAGATTGTAACTGGCTTAGCTAAATGAATTGTGGGGTTCAGTCCCTGAGCCCATTATGTGCCTCTGTAACCCTTTCCACTACCGCCCACAAGATGGGTATGGGGTGCATAATAAATGAATTAAATTAACTAACATGACTGTAAAACTGCTGCTCAGTTGGGTGGGTGTGGAGCACATGACTCTAAAGCTGCCGCCCAGTTGGGTGGGTGTGAAGCACATGACTGTAAAGCTGCCGCCCAGTTGGGTGGGTGTGGAGCACATGACTGTAAAGCTGCCGCCCAGTTGGGTGGGTGTGAAGCACATGACTGTAAAGCTGCCGCCCAGTTGGGTGGGTGTGGAGCACATGACTGTAAAGCTGCCGCCCAGTTTGGTGGGTGTGGAGCACATGACTGTAAAGCTGCCGCCCAGTTGGGTGGGTGTGGAACACATGACTGTAAAGCTGCCGCCCAGTTGGGTGGGTGTGGAACACATGACTGTAAAGCTGCCGCCCAGTTGGGTGGGTGTGGAGCACATGACTGTAAAGCTGCCGCCCAGTTGGGTGGGTGTGGAGCACATGACTGTAAAGCTGCCGCCCAGTTGGGTGGGTGTGGAGCAAGACGAGTAACTGTGTGACTCACCAATGATGTAAAGTGCCTTGTATAGTGACTGTTGTGAGCCTCTTTTTGATCACTTGTGACACAAAAGATTATTGATGTGTGTATTTGTGTGGGTGATTAAATATGTATGTGCATGTATATATGTATACGTATATATATATGTACTTGTATGTATGAGAATGTGTACATGTATATATAACATTAATAATTTCGTAACTAGCGTCAAAAAATTGTTATTTGCTAAGCTAAACGAACTAGAGGGTTCAGTTCCTGAACCGATTATGTGCCTCTGTAATCCTTTACACCACAGCCCACGGGATGGGTATGGGGTGCATAATAAAGAAAGAAATTGAATTGGGCACCCACAAAAAGGCGTAAATACCAAGACATTACTCATGTTCAAAATCTAGTTGGAAAAATCCTCAGGAATAATGAGGGGACCTTTGACAAGTCGTCGGCTTCCTGTTCCCGTCGAGGCGCCCCCAGATAAATATAGGTAAATTCGGGTAAATATGCCACCATTATAATATCAAGCAGATACTGCCAGACCAAAACACAGGGAGCACCAAGCTGTCCCGGGATTGGCTGGCCGCGCCGCCGCTAACCAATAGCAGCTTCGAGCTCAAATGAAAACAAAACGAAAATAAATGGCGCCATGAGAATCAAGGAGGTGGTCGATACGCGCAATTTAATGTCAAGACTTAGCAGTTATTCCCTCTGTTTCTTAATAATCAGCTGTAATGATGGATGCGTCAAATACGCTTTTGAAGAGGCTATGTTCTCACGTCACAGGGATCAACGATGGTAAGAGACGGGATTAAGTTTCCAGGGACCAAGTCCTCTGAGGTTCTTACATATTACAAATATATTACACAGACGTTTCAGACGTACCTCGTTTTCTTAGTTTAAAAACTATATATATGTAGTTTGGTTGGGTTGCTATTTTAAGCAAATCACACCTTATCTAACCTATCCAATTTTAACAACCCTACCTGACCTAACTTAATCCTACCTTACCAAACTTAACCTTACACAAGTAAAAGGTAAACAGTTTTTAGGTTCTGTGCAAGGTGAGCAATGCCACGGGGATGTAATCAGGTTGCTTCAGGGGGATCTTTTTGATACTACTGAGTACCTAGAAGTGGTAATCACTTGTGGGTCTGTCAGAGGATGGAAGTCATATATTCGAGATGGTTTGTCAGTGTATTTTAAAGCTAGCCTAACCATACTCAACCTATCCTAATCCAAGTTAATCTAATCAAACCTAACACAACCTAACTAAATAATATAAACGGTATATTGTTTTGGCAAAAATAACATTAGTATGGTTGAAATTTCTGTGTATGATTTGACTGTAGCACCCCACCCTCCCCCCTGTTATATAGAGAACAGCTGTGTGGTGTTTGGTTCCTTAGATTTGGGATCTGATCAGGTCTGGTTGGGGGTATCAGAGCTCTGCAGTTAATGCAGAAAATTAACGCACAGATAATGCATGAATTAGATTAAATTTCTCCCTCCCGTTTAGTCACACTTTTCTAATAATAATAATACTGCAATAATAATAATAATAATAATATTAAGCAAGAGAACATCCATGCATGTATAAGATACATGGACAGTGAAGGATTCATATATAAGAAAGTTAGGCTTATGTTATGTTTTGTTACTTTTAGAATGTAACAAGTTTGAAAGAGGCAACAACCCTTACATGGTCATGTTATGTTTATATGTGAATAGTGCTTCATACACCATACAGTGCTAGTGTCAGGTTGACTGTCTATCCAACCTGTTTAAAATTTAATATTTCCTAATATATCCTAACTAAATATTACCTAGGCTTTTCCTAACAAAGTGTAATCTAGCCTTACCTAGTTTAATGCTGAATGACATAGGGTCAAAATGTGGATCATTGCAACATTCATTGGTTAATGATTGCAGCAGATAATGGGACATTCCAAACAGCTGTTTCTTAGAACTAATACAAAATATTATAATGATTAATAATTTATTGTGTCAGTGGACAGGCAGCCAGAGTGTATTCACATATACATTAGGCTTATATCGATGCCCCCCCCTCTCACCCTTCCAAGGTCGAAATTACTAACCTAGCCCAGGATGCAACCCCACAACAAACTGACTAACTCCTGGGTACCTACTTAATGCTAGGTGAACAGAGGCATTAGGTGATAAGAAATGCGCCCAACCATTTCTGTCCCGCCCGGGATTCGAACCTGGAATTCCCAATTGTCAAGAACGTATCCGACTGTACTGCCAGGACCCTTATGTTAGAGTATGTTTGGTTTGGTTAGAAATTAAATTTACAGTAGTTTTAGTTAGGATGATCACTTAGGTTAAACAGTTTAAATTTAAATGATATACTGTACTTACATTGTTCCATATTTTCTGTTCTGGTTCCAGACCAAAAGCACAGAAACATTGTATCTGTCATGTGTGTGTAAATAGTGCAGCACCCCTATGGTTGATGGTGTACTCACTTTGGTGAACGTGTCATTAGTTATCTAAGATGTTAAGCTTACATTGAGCTTGAAATATGCCCATGGGGCAATGTGCTACTGTATTTGAATACTTGATATTGACCTTAGGTTATAAAATAACCTGTATACTGTGTGTATGTGGCATCACTTGGCATCATGTGGTGCCACATACACACTACTGTATGTGTAGCTTCATCAACCCGGGGAATTCCTGGTTTTGCTATCATTTTATTCCAGCATAGTTGAGGCAGTTAATAGTGGTAAGAATTGTGATGTTGTGTACCTTGACTTTAGCAAAGCTTTTGATACAGTGCTACATGAAAGACTGATTAAAAGGATAGAGGCTCATGGTACTGGGGGTGCTATATTAAGTTGGCTTAGGGCATGGCTATACCAAAGGAAACAGTTAGTATAAATGGGATTAATTCAGAGTGGGAAAATGTAAGTGGTGTGCCTCAAGGCTCTGTCCTGGGACCTCTGTTGTTTATAATATATATAAATGATTTAGATTCAGGTTTGAGTAAGTATAAATGGGATTAAGTCAGAGTGGGAAAATGTTGTAAGTGGTGTGCCTCAAGGCTCTGTCCTGGGACCTCTGTTGTTTATAATATATATAAATGATTTAGATTCAGGTTTGAGTAGCAACATTTGCAAATTTGCCAATGATACAAAAATTGGTAGGGAATAAACACGAAAGAAGACTCACTATCACTTCAATTTGATCTGAATAGGGTTTTTAAATGGTCAAAAGATTGGCGGATGCAGTTTAATGCTGATAAATGTAAAGTTTTGAGGCTAGGTAATGATGATAGAGTTACAAGATACGAGATAGATGGTGTTGAGATTGCGAAGTCTGATTGCAAAAGGGATCTAGGAGTTATGATTAGTAAGAATTTAACCAAAGGATCAATGCATGAATGTTTGTAATAAGGCAAATAGGGCACTGTGATTTATTAATCGAAGCGTTTGTAACAAGACACCTGGTGGTGTTCTTCAGCCATATCTTGCTCTGGTCAGGCCCCATTTAGATTATGCAGTTCAGTTTTGGTCACCGTACTATAGAATGGATATAAATTCACTTGAACGTGTCCAGCGTAGAATGACGAAGTTAATTCCCCAAATTAGAAATCTGTCATATGAAGAAAGATTAACAAAGCTTAAATTGCATTCCCTGGAAAGGTGAAGAGTTAGGGGTGACATGATAGAGGTTTACAAGTGGATGAATGGACATAACAAAGGGGATATTAATAGGGTATAAAAAGTATCAACACAAGACAGAACATGAAACAGTGGGTATAAATTGGATAAGTTTAGATTTAGGAAAGACTTGGGTAAATACTGGTTCGGTAACAGGGTTGTTGATTTGTGGAACCAATTACTGCGTAACGTGATGATGGCAGGGTCCCTGGGTTGTTTCAAACGTGGGTTGAACATGTATATGAGTGGGATTGGGTGGTTATAAATAGGAGCTGCCTCATATGGGTCAATAGGCCTTCTGCAGTTACCTTTGTTCTTATGTTCTTATTTAAAGGTTCACTTGGATCAGCCAATTTTCAAATATAGGGTTGTCAGGTTTACAATTCAGTCAAGTTCTGTACTGGCCAATTAGCATTGGTTCCAGTATGTTTTGTCCTTTTCCTTTGTATTGTGTTTGACACTATATCATGAGACATTTCATTCGCTTGCAGCCCTTCCTATAAATACAGTACCGTACTGTACTGTACTGTACTCCGTAAATCACCTCAGGCTGACCAATCCTAGTCAAGGCAAGAATCCTTAGTATATAATACTACTGTATTTACATTTGATAAACTGCTATTTTTATGTATTAAAAATACAACCTTCTAGGTACCAGATTCAGATCAGATTCAGATTCTTTATTCAGGTAAAGGTACATACATTGCAGATGAGTTACAAACATAATGTTGGATTTAAGCTGCCTTTATAAATATGTATTAGCTAAAGATGTATTAGTTAAATATAGTATTGGCATATTGTACTAGTATCACTTGATTTTTGTACTTTTGTTGCAGGGTGGAGGATAGGTTGTTATGATTCTGCCTATAAAATAGCATGTTTTCCTTAAATATTGCCAAATATGAAATTATGTATACACATGGAAATTTTGAACTGTCTAACTAAACTATCCTAATGTTAAAAGATGCATTAACCTTGAAACATTGCATTCCCTTTCTACCCATTCATCCTGCAAAAAATAGACAAGGAAATTTTTTGACAAATGTTTCATTTGGTACTAGGCTAGGATAAGCTTGAAGTCCCATGCTCTTCAACTTTCTTTCACAAAATAAAAGAAATATTTCTGGGTTGAAAGTGGATGTTTTCAGAAAGGTAATTGGAAAAGTTTCTCTAGGAAGTGCTGGACCAGCCAGGTTGTAATGTATATGTGGACCTGTGGGCTACTGCAAGCAACAGTCTTATAGATCAAATTACACCCAGACAAGTCTAGTATCTGGCTGGTCTTGGGAAGTAGAACTCTCAAAATCAACTACAGGTAAATTCACTTGTTCTTAGAAGTCACCGGTTGTTGGCTGACTGGCAACAAAAATCCTTCAGTCACCACCATAGTTATATAAATCTAAACCCGCAAAAAGTCACCAATATTTCAAATATACAGGCCCATTCAAAGCTGGAGAAATTGCTAACCTGGAGAACGCTAGCTACTCGATAAAACATCAAAATTATTGGGTCCGCTTAAAAAATTTAAATCTGTATTTTAGAATGCAGGCAGGAGAGATACATAATAATCTGCATTTGGAAAATATTAGGAGGAATGATTCCAAATCTGCACATAGTAATAACACCACATGCTATCTAAGTTATCCAAGTTATTTTGCACATCCAGAAGGCAAGGCAGGATGTGCAAAATAACCCCACTGAAGAGCAGAGGTGCAATAGGCACTCTTGAGAGAGAACTTGATCAGCAGCAAAGGCCCGAGACTTTTCAACACTCTTCCCCTACACAATGGAGCATAACTGGATTCAAAGATTCTCGCAGTGTTCAAAAGAGAACTCGACAAGCACCTTTAAGCTTGAGAACTCGACAAGCACCTTTAAGCTTGAGAACTCGACAAGCACCTTTGTGCTTGTCGCACCTTCGACAAGCACAAAAGATACCTGATCAACTAGGCTATGACTCATATGTCAGGCTGTGAGCAGCCACATCAAACAGCCTGATGGATCACACCAGTAACCAGGAGGCCTGGTCAGGGTTCAGGCCATGGGGGACATTGATTCCCAGACCCTTCAACAGGTATAACAGGCGACAGGTATGCTAAAATAACATGTTTTGTTATGAAAGTCTTTTAAAAGAAATGCAATACTGTACAGAAGTTAGAATAAAAGTAATTTAGTTTTGTTTTCCACAACAGCATGCCTCTTACAGAAATTCTAATGAACTTTTTTATTACCAAATTTAAGGCTTATTTTTTATTTTGTTGTAATTTACCCGACTGTTCAGGTGGTTAGGACCCATTCATTTCCTTCATCCTGTCCTAAATCCTTAAAATCATATAATTTCCAAGTGCTGTATGTTGTAATGGCTTAGGGCTTTCTGCTGATAATTACCTCATCATACTTATGGTGGATATATGGATCTTAAAACAGTAGAATGACACAAAAACAGACACCTAGAAAGGTACATTGTCCAAAAATTGTGGCGACCACTGGTATCACCAAACCATTGAAAACACCTTCATTGAATGTAAAACACACCATGTTACCCTGTACAGTATATTGTTATTAGACTAACACTTGAGCTGTTCCCTAGAAATGAGGCACTGATCATTGAGGTGGATGATGTTGGCCCTCAGCCTTAGATTGAGCTGTGCCAGGGGATTCTTGGATTGTGTGCCTGGGAATTTCCGGACTGTGAACGTGGAGATTTTTGGACTGTGTTATTGGGGATTCTTGGACTGTGTGCCTGGGGATTCTCGGACTGTGTGCCTGGGGATTCTCGGACTGTGTGCCTGGGGATTTTTGGACTGTGTGCCTGGGGAATCTTGAACTGTGGGCCTGGGGATTCTCGGACTGTGTGCCTGGGGATTTTTGGACTGTGTGCTTGGGGATTCTCGGACTGTGTGCCTGGGATTTTCAGATTGTGTGTCTGAGGTTTGCTGGACTGTGTGTATGAGGATTCCTGGACTATGCCCTTGGGTTCCCATTCCGTGTACCCGAGGTTTCTGAATTGTGCGCCCAGCTGAATTTTAACCATGTGCCCAGCTATTTCTGGGCCTTGTGCTCGAGCAGTTCTTGTCCTTGTGCCTGGGCATTTCTGGGCCTGTGCCTGGCCATTCTGGGCCCATGTGCCTGGTCATTTCTGAGCTGTATGCCCAGCTGTTTCTGGGCCATGTGCCTGGCCACTTCCAGTCTGTGCGCCCAGCCGTTTCTGAGTCATGTGCCTAACTATTCCTGGTAATCTCTCTTTTTGCATCATTATGTTTTGATGAGGACAGTTAAACAAATTTTTCTCTTGTTGCACTGGAGAAGTGGGGAGGTGTTGCATTAGAAAGCAAATGAGTGTATTGTTCAAAGAGGTGGCTGTGATAACTTTGGGGCCCATCAGGCTATGAAGGCAAAGACCTTTAAATTTCAGGCAATCACCAGGAAAGGCTGGCCACAGGCCAGGCTGTGGGAGTAGAACTCTCAAAATCATCTAGAGGTAATCAGCAGGTAAATTATGCACTCATGACCTGATTTTTTGTGGTACCATTACTTTAACAATTTTTTAGTTACACCTTAAGAATTTAATCTTCTCGGGGATTTATAGTGTTATATAAGTGATTGCCGGTTGTAATCTAGTTTTATGAAACCATAAAATCTTGCAATTGTGCCTTTTTCAGATCGATTGGTGACACATTTTCAGCTGGCTGTGAGTTTGTTAAATGAGGGACCCTCTCATCTTTCTGTCAAAGATCATAATGTTGCTGAGAAAATTAAGCGACGACTGGTCAGAGAAAAGCGACTAGAAGATGCTGCTCGGTTTTCCGGCTTGATGAACAGACTTCTAAAATCGGTGAGAGATTTGTTCAAAGATATAACTAGATATTTAAGTGGTAATTTTTCTTCTCTGAGATAGCTCCCATTGTGACTAATCTTGCTTTGATCACTGGCATGTCCTTTCAATACTGAGCAAGGAGCACGTAGGGATCAGAGGTCAACCCACAACTGAAAGATATCACCCACTTAACACTTAATCTCCAAACAGGTTTTTGAAAACTACTGAATCATCCACTGCACTGAACATCTTTTCCATGAGAGGGTCAGATCTCCATCTCATTTTTTTTTTCTGGTGTGGTTCAGCAAACACTTTAAACATTTTAGCAGATATCTCTATTCTTTGTTAAATGATTCTGGTAACTTTTGGATTTTGCTGTCAATGAGTAGGTGTTCCATGCTTTGAGAATGCATCACAAGTGCTCCAAGATTTAGTCATTAAATGAGCCTCTGTAACTGGAGTGTAAATTAAAAAGAAAAAATTAAGCTACAATTATCATTTTTGGACCAATCTGGATTTGTGCATAATCCAAATTTCTAGATAGTCACTATCTAGAAATTTTATCGGGGCCTCGTAGCCTGGTGGATAGCGCGCAGGACTCGTAATTCTGTGGAGCGGGTTCGATTCCCGCACGAGGCAGAAACAAATGGGCAAAGTTTCTTTCATCCTGAATGCCCCTGTTACCTAGCAGTAAATAGATACCTGGGAGTTAGTCAGCTGTCACAGGCTGCTTCCTGGGGGTGGAGGCCTGGTCGAGGACCGGGCCGCGGGGACACTAAAGCCCCGAAATCATCTCAAGATAACCTCAAGATCTACTCCAAGAAAATGAACTAATAATAATAATCATACTTGTACTGGGTGGTACAAATATCATTTAGGAGACGAGGAGTCGCAATAACGTGCCTGAAATACGGTATGAACTGCCTTGTATGGGCCAATAGGCCTTCTGCAGTTACCTTTGTTCTTATGTTCTTATTCCTATTACTATTCCCTTTATTACACTTTACCTTTCATACCTTTTGCCTTGCTTTGTCATTCTCTATGATTTTTCTCTTCTCACCTCTCTCTTGCCTATTTATTGCCTCAACTCCTTCCCTCATCGCACGACACCTGGGTCTACCTAAGGCTGCGAGACGAAAGACAAAAACACCAACTACGGAGGTTACGGATTCCTCAGACGAGGAAATCTTAGTAGGAGCTCCACCGCAGCACCACAAATACAACACCTACTTGGTTCAAGACTTTCTCATGGAGGCCACCTCACCAAACGACAACGACAGCACGGCTCAGCCAAAGTCTCAGGCAAAGAAAAAAAGGAAAACCTAGAGGTCTACACTAACCCCATTAGCTCCATAACTGGTACAACCAGCCATCCAGGGCTGAAAATCACCATGAAGACCCCCCATCCATTGCCAGATCTCTAGTATCAGCTATTGATACAGATAATGGCTCCAAAGAGCCTCCACTTATGGGCTCATCATAGACTGTGTTACTGGAACTTCTTGTTCTGAGTAGCTGAATCTAAAACGACAACAACATTCCCTCATCACAATCGACTTGAGAATGGTCCGGGACGGACCGAAACGTCGTCGTCCCTTCACTTTTTAGTGTGTGATGTGATAACACTATTTAGGATTTCCTAGGCAATGTTAAGAATTAGCAAACATTAATAGAAAGGTGTTTCCAAGTGGCACATTTGTTTTACCTTGAGTCTTGGAGTGTGTGTGTATACTATCATCTGACAATTTGCTCTCATCAGAACTAGTAGGGTGTTCTAATTTAGGCTTTTTGAGATGGAATAGATCAATGTGTAGTGGCGTTCACTTAAACTCTTCTATGGCAGTGTCATTAAGTAATGGATTTAACCTATTGCTTCCATGAATCCTGAAGCAAATGTAATTTCCTGGAAATGTATTATTTTTCTGTGGAGAGCCCCTCCAATTCGCCAGAGCTATATTGGGCTGATATGTATTAGACTGTGTCATCAGTCAATTCGATTGGAGTTCTAGCCTACTGGAGACCACGAGCCAGAACCTGGCCCCCCTCAGAGCAACATAAGGAGCAATGGCCTATAGAAACCCCCATGTGGTTGGAAGCATTCTATGTCTGCCATCTACTGGGTTAGGCACCCAGAAAGGTAGGCGTCTCAAAACAAACTCCACCTAGTTAAAATTGCTACTGAAAACTGAACTATCAAGCAGAATGCCACAATCTGAAAACAAGCAAACAAGCATGACATCACAACTGCTGCCACGGCTGCCACGCCATTGTCTGCAGCTTCCCCCTGTAACACGGGTTAGGTTCCTCTCTCTTTACTTCCTTCTTTCTACTCCCTCTACCCGTATTCTTACTTTTATTTCTAAACCAAGGGACTCCAAAACTTTTACCAAAGCCAACTCCACGCCACGTGGTCCTAAGACGATTGACCGACTTAGGATTCTACACCCAGTATGACGTGACCTAAGCTCTGAACAAAACCCTAGAGTCACCTCTGCTGCCACCACCAGACCAGTAATACAAGAGCAATGATCGAGGTCTGGATCGATCACGCTAATTAATCAACCTAGGGGCTTGATCCCCACTATAAACGATGACCTTGAGTGTGGAATAAATTACACGGTAATGATAATTCCGATTCGATGTTAGAATCGGCGCCCAATGCAACTCTGCCTCGTGTGGACCACGTGACCAGGACAAGTATACACATAAAACACATGGAAACAATAAAATTCAAATTAATAACAAATTTAATTTATTAAAAGAAAACTAAAACAAAATCTAAATGTGTTCACTCCCTATCACTTTAACACTCCCTACTTGACCTGAGTGGCAAATGAGAAGACTATCCCTATAATTAACAATAGCAACTATACCTTGGGCGACCAGCTAGATGTCTTGGGGAGAGGTAAGATGTTTGACCTCTCCCAGCTGCTCCCGTATTCACACTGATTTTTTTCTTGTCTGGACTACCCAGACTAGAACCTTGTATTGTTCCGCATCGCTTACCCAGTTACTTTAGCACGGTTAAGTTATAACAATTATCCTCTGTTTATACTGAATTGATCCAGACTGGTTGAATTATTTTACTGAATTAAATTACAAACATCTAACGGCAGAGCTGTTCCCGATCACAAAAATGGTTATTAAAACTTTGAGAAATATTAGACATGTCAACCCTGCTGACCTATGACCGCCGGTCACTCCGCCTCAAAAGTTAGATCTGATTCGTGACGTCACTGATGGTGACTTAAACTCAATAATTAGAATACTCTTGATATTGTACCCAGTACTATTATACAATACAATTTTAATGCAAAATGAATAAAGGCTAATTTTCTCTAAATTCCTGAATACTATAGGATGATTCATTATACGCAGATATGAACAAAGCGTCGGTTATTTCCACCGCGAATTCCCCTGGGGGTCAGGTCACCATGCGGCTCAGCTTCCCATTCTCTTTTGTCGATAAACCACTCTGGATAATTCTTACAACAGCCTAGTTTGTTACAACCCCCCCGCACAAGCACTTAGTAAACCTTGTTAATTTGTTAAAATTCACGAGGTTTAGTATCCAAACCCACAATTCAACTCATGCCACAAACAAAAGCTAACCTAACTAATAAAATTTGACACATAATAGTCCAACATCATAATGAACATGTTCATATTACATAAATTTCTCAGCTGTCAACTGACAGCAATCCTCCAATATCAGGAAACATACATCCTACCCTTACTGACATAGCTAAATAACATGTCCCTACTCTACCATCAAAAACTAGCTATTAAACTCTCTTGGCTCTTCACTAGCCAAGTCCATGTGTCCTCTAGAGCCGGCCACACCGTGCTCAAACAAACATTAAAGTTATATCATCAGACTGAACTTTCAGTCATCCGGGAGCGTACTACGGAACTATCAGTTCACATCCGTGTACTAACCACTCCCCATCAATGTCAACCTTGACATGCTAAGGAACACACCTAACGTTTATTACATGTATCTAAAAATAAAAAAAAATTCCTATACTATATCACAGGTTTCAGCTGACTGTACAGCCAAGTGTTCTCACTCACTGTAAGAGTGTCAATGTTTATATTGGTCCGCCTCTCCTGTGTTCAAACATTCTGAAAAAAAAATAGCACAACATAATTTTCCATAACCGTTTGTTCTGGGCTGAGACAATTACACAGGGGCTTCGATTTTGATTACTGACCAATTTATAGTTAAATTTTCATATATTATACCAGAATTATTTTAAATCTGTTTTTCAACATTTATAAAGAATTGATTCTAACTCTGTTTTTCAACATTTAAACAAAAGTGTCCAGATGTTCTTTACACAGATGTTCAGAGCCAACTTTGTTGTTTGTATCAATTGTTCATATTGAGTAAACGAAAAAAAAAAATCGATGCTGCTGGATGCTGAATGTAGTCGCTGACGATGACGGTGTCGATCTTGCTTCTTCTCATGTGTAGACATCAATACCTGGTCCTCTTGTACTCCCATCCGGTACTACTGAATGACGACAGAGTGTAGTAGAGCTGAGTGCCAAGTGACAGCTGTAGAATACTGTTACTTCGGCCATTAATCTTGCTCTCGACAGTCCACACGCCTTCATATCAATCACAGTTCACACGGCAGTCTTGATGTTAAACTTGACGGCGCAGATGACCACAGCAGAACAGGACTGGATGTACCAACAGTGTCTCTTAGCAGGAGTGGTGTCAGAAGGTCGTAGAGGCGGGTTGCTTGTTTGCAGAACAGGTGAATCTCGTCTTCCATCATTGCTCACGTCATCTCAGGCGTTTCTTGATGTCCCCAGGTTACTAGGCCGTAAACACCAACTGTGTATACCCTCGTACCGCCGACTTTAGGCCAAAGGAGACAATTTTGCGACCTTCTATTGGCGAGTCCCGGTACTCTGTAGGGAAACCGTGCCTTCCACCTGTGACCGCCTTACTTCCGCTTTCTTGTTACTTCAGATGACGTAATCATTAATCTTCCGGCGAAATTCTT